CCCATGGGAGGGGACAGGGGTGGGCAGCGCCTTTGGGGTCACCTGGGGTCCCGTGGGAGGGATGGGGTCCCTTGGAAGGATCGGGGCTCAGGGATGCCCTGGGGGTTCAGGGATGCCCTGGGGGTCCTGTGGGAGGAGGGGTTCAGGGATGCCCTGGGGTCCTGGAGGGGATGGGGGTTCAGGGATGCCTGGGGGGTTCAGGGATGCCCTGGGGGTCCCGTGGGAGGTTAGGGGTTCAGGGATGCCCTGGGGAGTTCAGGGATGCCCTGGGGTCCCGTGGGAGGAGGAGGGGTTCAGGGATGCCCTGGGGGTTCATGGGAGTAGCCCTGGGGGCTCAGGGATGCCCTGGGGTCCCGTGGGAGGAGGGGTTCAGGGATGCCCTGGGGGGTTCAGGGATACCCTGGGGGGTTCAGGGATGCCCTGGGGGTCCCGTGGGAGGGGAGGGGGGTTCAAGGTTGCACTGGGGTCTCCCGTGAGGGGAGGGGGTCCCATGGAGGAGGAGGTTCAGGATGCCCTGGGGGTCCTGTGGAGGAGGGGGTTCAGGGATGCCCTGGGGGTCCCGTGGGAGGGGTGGGGGCTTCAGGATGCCCTGGGGGCTGAGGAGATGCCCTGGGGCTCCAGTGGGAGGGGACGGGGGTGGGCAGTGCCTTTGGGGTCACCTGGGGGTCCCGTGGGAGGGGATGGGGGTCCCTTGGAAGGGGATCGGGGCTCAGGGATGCCCTGGGGGGTTCAGGGATGCCCTGGGGGGTCCCGTGGGAGGGTTAGGGGTTCAGGGATGCCCCTGGGGAGTTCAGGGGATGCCCATGGAGGAGGGAGTTCAGGGATGCCCTGGGGGGTCCCGTGGGAGGGTTAGGGGTTCAGGGATGCCCCTGGGGAGTTCAGGGATGCCCCTGGGGGGTTCAGGGATGCCCCTGGGGAGTTCAGGGATGCCCTGGGGGATTCAGGATTCCTGGGGGATTCAGGGATTCCCTGGGGGCTCAGGATTCCTCTGGAGGTCCCGTGGGATGGGACGGGGTCCTCTCTGAGGTCACAGGGCTGAGCCAGCCCCTCCCAAGCTCCTCATTCCCCCCAGCCCTGAGTCCAAACCCCTTGTGGGGCTGACTGTGCCCTCCTCGTGCCCCCGTGCCCCCGTGCCCATGCCCCCAGATCCCGCTGGCGTGGTTGGTGTCGCGGTTCCTGCGGGGCAATTACGGCAACGCGGCCGTGTGGATGTCGCTCATCATCGGCCAGCCCATCGCCGTGCTCATGTACGTGCACGACTACTACGTGCTCAACTACGAGGGGGCCCTGGACACCCTCAGGGGCTAACCCTGCCCCACACCCCCCCTCTCCCAGGGATCCCCGGTGTCCCCGTGTTGGGGGAGGGGGGGGTGGGACCGTCCATGAACGAAGGAATGAATGAATGAATGAATGAATGAATGATCGGATCAATGCAATAGTCTGGGGGGCCTCTGGGAACCCCCCGGCCCTGGGGGGACCCCTGCACTGCCCTGGGGGGGCTATGGGGGAACCTCTGACCCTGGGGGTCTGGGACTCCTGGCCTGGGACCCTGCTGCCCTGGGGGCTGTGGGACCCTGGCCCTGGGGACCTCTGCACTGCCCTGGGGGCTCTGGGGAACCCTCTGACTCCCTGGGGGCTGTGGGAACCTCTGACCCTGAGGGGCTGTGGGATCCCCCTGGTTCCTCAGGGGGGCTGTGGGATCCCCTGGTTCCCTGGGGGGCTGTGGGATCCCCCTGCACGTCCCCAGGGGGGGGTTTTGGGATCCCCCTGGTTCCTCAGGGGGGCTGTGGGATCCCCTGGTTCCCTGGGGGATCCCCTGGTTCCCCGGGGGGCTCTGGGATACCCCTGCACATCCCTGGGGGGGCTGTGGGACCCCCCTGGCCCCGGTGGAGCCTCCGTGGCGTTTCGGCACTTTATCGCACTGTCCCCTGTCCCTTTGTCCTTGTCACCCTCCCTGCCCGGAGCTCGGACCTGCCAGGACCTGGGGGGGCTGCCCAGGACCCTGCCAGGACCTGTCCCTGTCCCTGCCAGGACCTGTCCTTGCTCATGGCCCTGCCAGGACCTGTCCCTGTTCATGGCCCTGCCAGGACCTGTCCCTGTCCCTGTCCCTGCCAGGACCTGCTGCTGCCGTCCATGGCCCTGCCAGGACCCGCTGCCCCACTCCCCCTCGGCCCCACTCCACCCCTCAACCCCCTCGTGATTAAAGTCTCTTTTTTCCACGTTTTGCCCCATTTTTGCCTCTGTGGACCCCCCAGATCTCCCAGTTTGTTGGGGAGTGACTGGGACAGACTGGGGTGGAGTGAAAAAGAACCCCACCTGCAGGGATTGGGGCTGCAATTCCTTGGTTGGGAATGGCCCTCTCAGGAATTCCTCCCAGGAATTCTGGGGGAGGGGCGGAGAGAGGGACCCCTGGATGAGGTGGGGGAGGGGCTCCAGCGGGAGCTTCCTGGGGCACCTGGAGGGGATCCCGGCCCCGTCCTGAATCCTGGGATGGGAATTCCAGGTGGGAAGGGACCAGTGAGGCACCCCAGAGTCCCCTCTGCCCTTCCCCCTCTCCCAGGCTGCTCCAAGTGCCATCCAGGCCAGCCCTGGGCACTTGGCAGGGATCTCTGGGCATCTCTGGCAGGGATCTCCTGGGCACTTGGCAGGGATCCCTGGGCACTTGGCAGGGATCCCTGGGCACTTGGCAGGGATCTCTGGGCACTTGGCAGGGATTTCTGCTTTCCCTTTTCCCCCTGGGAAGGGTTTTCTCCCCCACCCCGAAGCAGCTCCGACCTCACCGGCCTCGGGACATAGAAAATAAATTTTATTCTTCACTTTTAGATCTCTGGGCCCGGGAGCCACCAATCCCTGGGAGCCCCAAATCCCCGGGATCCCCAAATCCCCGGGATCCAGGGTTCCTGGGGAGCTGGCACCCCTGGGATCCCCAAATCCCCAGGATCCAGGGTTCCTGGCACCCCTGGGATCCCCAAATCCCCAGGATCCAGGGTTCCTGGCACCCCTGGGATCCCCAAATCCCTGGGATCCAGGGTTCCTGGCACCCCTGGGATCCCCAAATCCCTGGGATCCAGGGTTCCTGGGAGCACCCCCGGCACTGGGACACGGCCCCGGCTCCAAACCCCTCCAGTTTTGCTCGTGGTTTTCCCACATCCAACAGAAGGGAATTCCCGGAGCCAGCAGGAGCCAGGGGCGAGGAGGGAGGCTCCGGAGCCGGGAGGAGGCAGCTCGGGGCTGGATCCACTGGATCCCAGCTCTGGAGCCGGGATGAGGCAGGTCAGGATCAGATCCCACTGGATCCCAGCTCTGGAGCCGGGATGAGGCATGTCAGGAGCTGGGATGAGGCGGCTCAGGGCTGGATCCTGGCAGCTCCAGAGCTGGGATGAGGCAGGGGAGGGCTGGAACCACTGGCTCTGGGCTCTGGAGCTGGAGGACGTGGATCAGGGCTGATCCTGGTGGCTCCAAAGCTGGGAGGAGCTGGCTCAGGGCTGGATCCCGGTGGCTCCAGAGCTGGAAGGAGCTGGCTCAGGGCTGGATCCCGGTGGCTCCAGAGCTGGATCAGGGCTGGATCCTGGTGGCTCCAGAGCTGGGAGGAGCTGGCTCAGGGCTGGATCCCGGTGGCTCCAGAGCTGGATCAGGGCTGGATCCTGGAGGCTCCAGAGCTGGATCAGGACTGGATCCTGGAGGCTCCAGAGCTGGATCAGGGCTGATCCTGGTGGCTCCAGAACTGAAGGGCTGGCTCAGGGCTGGATCCCGGTGGCTCCAGAGCCAGACGAGGCAGGTCAAGGTTGGATGCCGGCAGCTCCAGAGGCAGATGAGCTGGATTAGGGCTGGATCCTGTTGGCTCTGGGACTGCTCCCTGTGCTCAGGGCGGATCCCACAGTTCCAGATCCGATCCCTGTGCTCAGGGCTGGATCCCACAGCTCTGGAACCAATCCCTGTGCTCAGGGCTGGATCCCACAGCTCTGGAACCAATCCCTGTGCTCAAGGTTGATCCCAAGGCTCCGGAGCTGCTCGCTGTGCTCAGGGCTGGATCCTGTTGGCTCCAGAGCCAATCCCTGTGCTCAGGGCTGGATCCTGTTGGCTCCAGAGCCAATCCCTGTGCTCAGGGCTGGATCCCATGGCTCCAGAGCCACTCCCTGTGCTCAGGGCTGGATCCTGTTGGCTCTGGAACCAATCCCTGTGCTCAGGGCTGCTCGCTGTGCTCAGGGCTGGACGCTGGCAGCCGCGGGCACCGGTGACCCCAGGGCGCTGGGGGAGGCCAGGACGGGCGAGGCAGCCAGGCCGGAGAGGGGCTGGGCGGGCACGGAGCTGATCCCTGTGGGAAGGGGGCACAGCGGGGTTGTTGGGGGGTGTCAGAGCCGCTCCTGGGGGTCCAGGGGGGTCCCCAAGGGGGTCCCACGCTCACCTGCCAACATACTGGAGGAGCTGACGGGGGGCGTGCCGGCCGAGAGCCCGGCCGGGGCTGCCATCCGGGCCGGGTCCTTGGCAATGGGGTCTGGGGGCACAGGGGAGGGGAGGGGGTCACCCCCGGGCCCCCCGGGGTGGGCACCGCTGCCTCAACACCCCCGAGACCCTTGGGATGGCCCCCCCAGACCCCGGGGCAGGGGCAGCAGCCCGGGGAAGGTGGGGGAAGGGGGAAGGTGAGGAAGGAGCAGCGGGGCGGGGGGTGCCCCGGGGGTGCCCTGGGGGTCCCGGGGGTGCCCCCTCGTACAGAAGTAGGGGTGGTCCATGGCGTCACGGGCCGTCAGGCGGCTCTGGTGGTCGTAGCGCAGCAGCTTGTCCAGGAAATCCAGCGCCTCGGGGCTCACCAGGTGCTGGTTCTCGCTGTGCACAAAGCGCTCCCACCGCTTGCGGGAGTGTCTGCGGGGCAGGAGGACGAGGGGGAGGGAAAGGAGGAAGGGGAGGGGGAGGAGAAGGAGAGAGGGTGAAAGAGGAAGGGGGGGGAAGAGGAGCAAGGTGAATAGAGCAGCATCAGCCCGTGCCCACCGCTGGCACCCCCAGCTCACTGCCCGCTGCCCCCCCTGCTCTGTGCCCACCCACAGGGTGACACGGGACACCCCCTGCCTCCCCTGAGCCCCCCTCGAGCTCCCCGGGGGTCCCACCTGCCCAGGATGTCGTTGAAGGGGGTCCAGCTCCAGGTTGTATCCCTGAGCCCCCCCTGAGCCCCCAGGGGTCCCACCTGCCCAGGATGTCATTGAAGCAGGGTCCAGCTCGAGGTTGTACCCTGAGCCCCCAATGCCCCCAGGGGTCCCACCTGCCCAGGATGTCGTTGAAGCGAGGGTCCAGCTCCAGGTTGTACCCCTGAGCCTCCCAATGCCCCCACCGGGGTCCCACCTGCCCAGGATGTCGTTGAAGGGGGTCCAGCTCCAGGTTGTACCCTGAGCCCCCCAATGTCCCCCCAGGGGTCCCACCTGCCCAGGATGTCACTGAAGTGCAGGTCCAGCTCCAGGTTGTACCCCTGAGCCCCCTGAGCCTCCAATGCCCCCACGGGGGTCCCACCTGCCCAGGATGTCGTTGAAGGGGGGGTCCAGCTCCAGGTTGTACCCCTGAACCCCCCCCTGAGCCCCCCAGGGGTCCCACCTGCCCAGGATGTCGTTGAAGGGGGGGTCCAGCTCGATGTTGTACCCCTGAGCCCCCCAATGCCCCCAGGGTCCCACCTGCCCAGGATGTCGCTGAAGGAGGTCCAGCTCCAGGTTGTACCCCTGAGCCCCCTGAGCCCCAGGGTCCCACCTGCCCAGGATGTCGTTGAAGGGGTCCAGCTCGATGTTGTACCCTGAGCCCCCTGAGCCCCCTGTGCCCCCAGTGCCCCCAGGGTCCCACCTGCCCAGGATGTCGTTGAAGCAGGGTCCAGCTCCAGGCTGTACCCTAAGCCCCCCCCAATGCCCCCCCGGGGGTCCCACCTGCCCAGGATGTCGTTGAAGCGGGGGTCCAGCTCGATGTTGTACTTGTCGATGTAGTCGTACAGATCCTCCGTGCCCAGCACCTTGGCGATGCGCACCAGCTGGGGGGACACCACACTGGGGGCACTGGGGGGACTGGGGGGGTCCCTGACAGCCCCCCGGGGGTCCCAACACACCAGCTGGGGGGACACTGACACTGCAGGCACTGGGGGGACTGGGGACACTGGGGACACACGGGGGGAGGGGGACACAGTGTGGAGCTCAGGGGGTGTGGGTGGGGTCTCCACCCCAGTGTCTGTTGATGGGATCCCCACCCCGGGCTCTGTGGGATGGGGTGCCCACCCCAGTCTGTTGATGGGGTCTCCACCCCAATGTCTGTTGATGGGGATCCCCACCCCAGGGTATGTGGATGGGGTCTCCACCCCAGGGTATGTGGATGGGGTGCCCAGCCCAGGATGTGTGGATGGGATCCCCACCCCAGTCTGTTGATGGGGTCTCCACCCTGGGCTGTGTGGGATGGGGTCTCTACCCCAGTGTGTGTGGGATGAGATCCACACCCCAATGTCTGTTGATGGGGTCTCCATCCCAGTGTCTGTTGATGGGATCCCCATCCCAGGCCGTGTGGATGGGGTGCCCACCCCAGGCTGCTGATAGGATGGGACCCCCACCCCAGCCTGTTGATGGGATGGGGTCTCCACCCCAGTCTGCTGATGGGATGGGGTGCCCACCCCAGTCTGTTGATGGGATGGGGTCTCCACCCCAGCCTCTTGATGGGATGGGACCCCCACCCCAGTCTGTTGATGGGATGGGGTCTCCACCCCAGTCTGCTGATGGGATGGGATCCTCACCCCAGTCTGTTGATGGGATGGGGTCTCCACCCCAGCCTGTTGATGGGATGGGGTCTCCAACCCTAGTCCGTTGATGGGATGAGGTGCCCACCTCAGTCTGTTGATGGGATGGGTCCCACCCCAGCCTCTTGATGGGATGGGACCCCACCCAGTCTGTTGATGGGATGGGGTCCCACCCCAGTCTGCTGATGGGATGGGGTCTCCACCCCAGCCTGTTGATGGGATGGGGTCTCCACCCCAGTCTGCTGATGGGATGGGGTGCCCACCCCAGTCTGTTGATGGGATGGGGTCTCCACCCCAGTCTGTTGATGGGATGGGGTGCCCACCCCAGTCTGTTGATGGGATGGGGTGCCCACCCCAGTCTGTTGATGGGATGGGGTCTCCACCCCAGCCTGTTGATGGGATGGGATCCCCACCCCAGTCTGTTGATGGGATGGGATCCCCACCCATCCTGCTGACAGGACGGGACCCCCACCCATCCTGCTGACGGGATGGGACCCCCACCCATCCTGCTGACAGGACGGGACCCCCACCCATCCTGCTGCTGGGACAGGACCCCCACCCATCCTGCTGCTGGGACGGGACCCCCACCCATCCTGCTGACAGGACGGGACCCCCACCCATCCTGCTGACGGGACGGGACCCCCACCCATCCTGCTGACGGGACAGGACTCCCACCCATCCTGCTGCTGGGACGGGACCCCCACCCATCCTGCTGACGGGACGGGACCCCCACCCATCCTGCTGATGGGACGGGACCCCCACCCAGCCTGCTGACGGGATGGGACCCCCACCCATCCTGCTGATGGGATGGGACCCCCACCCATCCTGCTGACGGGACGGGACCCCCACCCATCCTGCTGATGGGATGGGGTCTCCACCCCAGCCTGTTGATGGGATGGGGTGCCCACCCAGCCTGCTGATGGGACGGGACCCCCACCCATCCTGCTGATGGGACGGGACCCCCACCCATCCTGCTGACAGGACGGGACCCCCACCCATCCTGCTGCTGGGACGGGACCCCCACCCATCCTGCTGATGAGATGGGACCCCCACCCATCCTGCTGCTGGGACGGGACCCCCACCCATCCTGCTGACAGGACGGGACCCCCACCCATCCTGCTGACAGGACGGGACCCCCACCCATCCTGCTGCCGGGACAGGACCCCCACCCATCCTGCTGCCGGGACAGGACCCCGCTGACCTGGTCGTAGTTGTCGTGGCCGTGGAAGAAGGGCTCCTTGCGGAAGATCATGCTGGCCAGCATGCAGCCCAGGCTCCACATGTCCAGGCTGTAGTCATACATCTTGGGGGGTGGAGGGGGCTCAGGGGGTTCTCCAGCCGGGACCCCCGTCCCAGGACCCCCTCCCCCCCGTACCTGGTAGTCCACGAGCAGCTCAGGGCCCTTGAAGTAGCGCGAGGCCACGCGCACGTTGTACTCCTGCCCCGGGTGGTAGAACTCGGCCAGCCCCCAGTCGATCAACCGCAGCTGGGGGGGCAACCCCGGGGGAAAGGGGGGCTCAGGGACCCCCAAAACCTCCCCCGGGGGAAAGGGGGGCTCAGGGACCCCCAAAACCTCCCCCGGGGGAATGGGGGGCTCAGGGACCCCCGGGATGCACCCCAAAACCTCCCCCGGGGGAATGGGGGGCTCAGGGACCCCCAAAACCTGCCCCTTGGGAAAGGGGGGCTCAGGGACCCCCAAACATCCCCCTTGGGAATGGGGGATGCACCCCAAAACCTCCCCCGGGGGAATGGGGGGCTCAGGGACCCCCAAACCTCCCCCTTGGGAATGGGGGGCTCAGGGTGCACCCCCAAACCTCCCCCGTGGGAAAGAGGGGCTCAGGGACCCCCAAACCTCCCCCTTGGGAAAGGGGGACTCAGGGACCCCCAAACCTCCCCCTTGGGAATGGGGGATGTACCCCCAAACCTCCCCCTTGGCAATGGGGGGCTCAGGGACCCCCAAACCTCCCCTTGGGAATGGGGGCTCGGGGACCCCAGGATGCACCCCCAAACCTCCCCCTTGGGAATGGGGGGCTCAGGGACCCCCGGGGTGCACCCCCAAACCTCCCCCTTGGGAATGGGGGGCTCAGGGACCCCCGGGGTGCACCCCCAAAACCTCCCCCTTTGGGAATGGGGGGCTCAGGGACCCCCGGGATGCACCCCCAAACCTCCCCCTTGGCAATGGGGGCTCAGGGACCCTCGGGTGCACCCCAAAACCTCCCCTTTGGGAATGGGGGCTCAGGGACCCCCGGGATGCACCCCCAAACCTCCCCCTTGGGAATGGGGGCTCAGGGACCCTCGGGGTGCACCCCCAAACCTCCCCCGTGGGAATGGGGGGCTCAGGGACCCCCGGGGTGCACCCCCAAACCTCCCCCGTGGGAATGGGGCCTCAGGGTCCCCCAGGATGCACCCCCAAACCTCCCCCCTTGGGAATGGGGGGCTCAGGGACCCCCAAACCTCCCCCTTGGGAATGGGGGGCTCAGGGTGCACCCCCAAACCTCCCCCTTGGGAATGGGGGCTCAGGGACCCCCGGGGTGCACCCCCAAACCTCCCCCGTGGGAATGGGGGGCTCAGGGACCCCCGGGGTGCACCCCCAAACCTCCCCCCGCCCGTTCAGCCCCCGGGGAGAGGGGACAGGAGCACCCCGGGGTGACACCACAGCTGCCAGTCCCTCCCCCACCCCGACCCCGCACTGTCCCCGTCCTCTCTCGGGGGGGCAGGTTTGGAATTTGCCCCCCAATTTGGAATTGGGAAATTCCCCCAATTTGGAATTGGGAAATTCCCATCTGATGGGAATTCTCAGATTCCGCCCTTCCTCCCCCCAGGTCTTCCCTCGGCTCAGGGTGCTCTGGAACCCTCGGGAGTTGGGAGCCCAGCAAGGGAACCGGCCCCGAGCGGTGCCAGGGGAGATTCCTTTGGGATATTTGGGAAAATCCCTGCTGGGAAGGGACCCCCATCCCGGGAGGATTATCGGCCATCCCTGGGGAGGTGGCACTTGGGGACAGGGGCAGGGCTGGGGGAGCAGGAGGAGGACTCCGTGGCCTCAGAGGGGTTTCCCAGTGTAAATAATTCCAGGATTCCACGGGAATTCCTGGGCAGGGCTCAGGGAAGGTTTGGACAGGGAACATCCCGAAGGAGCAGGGTGGGCTCAGCCCCCTCCCCAGGAACTGGGAGACTCCAGAGGCGCCTTTGAAGGGTTTTTACGGGAGGCCCCGGCCGGGCAGCTGGGACAGAGGTGCCGGGAGGGATTAAAAATTCCCTTTATGGGGCGGAGCAGGTGGGGAATAAAGGGATTTACGGGAGCAGCTGCGGGGGCTTCCATAGGGATGGGAATTCCAGCCCTTCCCAGGGGGATGACTCGGGGGCTGCACCTGAGCACGGGCTGGGGGCACAGATGGGGTTGGGGATGGGATGGGAGGCGGGGAGGGATCCAGGCAGGAGGGGCTGGAATGTGGCCAGGGTGGGAACGGAGCTGGGAAAGGGCTGGAAAACTCCTGAGGGAGCTGGGGGGCTCAGCCCGGAGAAAAGGGGATTGGGAGGGGTCCCAAGGGTGGGATTGGAGCTGGGAAAGGGCTGGAAAACTCCTGAGGAGCTGGGGGCTCAGCCTGGAGAAAAGGGGGATTGGGAGGGGTCTCCAAGGGTGGGATTGGAGCTGGGAAAGGGCTGGAAAACTCCTGAGGAGCTGGGGGCTCAGCCCAGAGAAAAGGGGGATTGGGGAGGGCTCCAGGGGTGGGAATGGAGCTGGGAAAGGGCTGGAAAACTCCTGAGGGAGCTGGGGAGCTCAGCCTGGAGAAAAGGGGACTGGGGAGGGGTCTCAGGGGTGGGAATGGAGCTGGGAAAGGGCTGGAAAACTCCTGAGGAGCTGGGGGCTCAGCCCGGAGAAAAGGGGGATTGGGGAGGGGCTCCAGGGTGGGAACGGAGCTGGGAAAGGGCTGAAAACTCCTGAGGAGCTGGGGGCTCAGCCTGGAGAAAAGGGGGATTGGGGAGGGGGATCCAGGGTGGGAATGGAGCTGGGAAAGGGCTGGAAAACTCCTGAGGGAGCTGGGGGCTCAGCCTGGAGAAAAGGGGGATTGGGGAGGGGATCCAGGGGTGGGAATGGAGCTGGGAAAGGGCTGGAAAACTCCTGAGGGAGCTGGGGGCTCAGCCTGGAGAAAAGGGGGATTGGGGAGGGGATCCAGGGTGGGAAATGGAGCTGGGAAAGGGCTGGAAAACTGAGGAGCTGGGGGGCTCAGCCCAAAGAAAAGGGGGATTGGGGAGGGGCTCCAGGGGTGGAATGGAGCTGGGAAAGGGCTGGAAACTCCTGAGGAGCTGGGGGCCCAGCCCGGAGAAAGGGATTGGGAGGGGATCCAGGGGGACACATCCCTGTGCCCCCCAGGGGTGCAGCCCCACCTTCCTGTGCTCGTGGTCGATCATGACGTTGTGAGGCTTCACGTCCCGGTGCATCACCCCCATGCTGTGACAGAAATCCAGAGCCTGCGGAACAGAGAGAATGTGGATGGGATGGGATGGGATGGGATGGGATGGGATGAGCAGGATGGATGGGATGGGATGGGATGGATGGATGGGATGGATGATGGGATGGGATGGGATGGAGATGGGATGGATGGATGGATGGATGGGATGGGATGGGATGGATGGATGGGATGGGATGGGATGGGATGGGATGGGATGGGATGGGATGGGATGGGATGGGATGGGATGGATGGGATGGGATGGATGGGATGGGATGGGATGGGATGGATGGGATGGGATGGGATGGGATGGGATGGGATGGGATGGGATGGGATGGGATGGGATCAGGGATGGGATGGGGATGGGGATGGGATGGGATGGGATGGGATGGGATGGGATGGGATGGGATGGGATGGGATGGGATCGGGATGGGATGGGATGGGATGGGATGGGATGGGATGGGATGGGATGGATGGGATCAGGGATGGGATGGGATGGGATGGGATGGGATGGGATGGGATGGGATGGGATGGGATGGGATGGGGATGGGATGGGATGGGATGGGATGATGGATGGATGGGATGGGGATGGGATGGGATGGGATGGGATGGGATGGGATGGGATGGGATGGATGGGATGGGATGGGATGGGGATGGATGGGATGGGATGGGATGGGATGGGATGGGATGGGATGATGGATGGGATGGGATGGGATGGATGGATGGGATGGGATGGGATGGATGGGATGGGATGGATGGGATGGGATGGGATGAGGATGGGATAGGATGGGATGGGATGGGATGTGGATGGGATGGGATGGATGGGATGGGGATGGGATCAGGGATGGGATGGGATGGGATCGGGATGGATGGGATGGGATGGGATGGGATCAGGGATGGGGATGGATGGGATGGGGATGGGATCAGGATGGATGGATGGATCAGGATGGATGGGATGGGATGGGATGGGATGGGATGGGATGGGATGGGATGTGGATGGATGGGATGGGATGGATGGGATGGGATGGGATGGGATGGGATGGGATGGGGATGGATGGGATAGGGATGGGGATGGGATGGGATGGGATGGGGATGGGGATGGGATCAGGGATGGATGGGATGGATAGGGATGGGATGGGATG